TGTGCATGACCAAAGGATACATACTGACACTGTATCTCCTGGGTTATCAGAGTTCAGCATGCTGGGAAAGCCACATCTTCTGTCAGCCCCCACGCGCACACCAGCTGCCCCAGCCTGTGATTGACAATGTTTGCTCATTAACAGATGCTCAGAAATCTCCAAAAGGTTTCTACATGTGCTTTTAAGATCATCAGATCTTTCATGTTGAGATCTGGAAGCACATTCAAAAGTAGTTTTTCAGTCACCTTCACAGAAAGCCTTCAGCATTAAGGCATACTACTTGACTGAGGAAACTGAGGCACAGCACCAGAAGCCATTTTCTTAGAGTCGTAAGGGAACTGATGATTGCTATTCTTTGGTCTAACCAACCATCTACAGCAAGGAAGAGAACTCAAGTAGGTTGGCCCAATGCCCAAGCACCCAGAGACGCTCCTTGTATCCTCTCTTATCAGTTCACAAATTTGAAAGCATTTTGAGAACAAATTTCATTTGGTGCTTAACACAAAGATCAGATCATTTCATTACAGATGAAGAATAAAGTGTCTTCTCCCTGACTTATGGGATGCCTTTTTTAAAGGTAGGGTATCTCCAGGATATTTACAAGTCAATCTATTTGTTTACAGTTTAAAATAAATTACCCTTTAAATGTCCGGCACCTAATGTGGCCCCATTATTTTCCCAGAAGAAGGTTTTCACTATGGTCACTAACACCCGTTTCCAGAGAGAACAAGGACATGCTGTTCTAATGTGTCCCTAGCCACTGGTAACGTTAACAAAAATGTCACCTGTCCTTCAAAAGCTGACACTGCAAATTCCATTAAGGACTCATTACATGGTATCAGTAAGGGGAGTGTTCTGGGTGTTGGGAGTCCATGCCGGGTGCATTTCTCTACTCTTACATATTTGTGTTTCTTTGTTTCTTATGCCAATCTGATCCCTCTCCCTCCGTGCCAGATAACCATGTTTGGACTCTATTCCCAGGAAGCTGCCTGTGGAAAGTTCCTCTGAGGCACCTCTCTAGCCCTGCCTGCTGCCAATAAAGTGAGAGGCGGAATGTACAGACCCTCAAATTCATTGCTAAGCCTTCATTCTCCAGAGTACAATTTAAGACTCTTGCCAGATCAGTGTTCAAGTTACAGTTTCAGTGACTTACATCAACCCATATTACTCAGAATTGAGGGACATATCTGTAAAAGTTCAGGCATGGGCACTCACCTAAAATTTCGATCCCCGCATTTGGTGTCTCTGCTGCCTGGGCCCATTTCTTTTCTTAGTTCAAGAGGGTTCCTCAGCATCTTGTCACCAGGCTAGTCTGTTTACTCCAGGTGCCTATCTGTCCTGCTCCAGCCCCACAAGCAGTGACACACCTTTGGACTGCAGCACAGGAACAACGAAGAATAGATGGCTGTGACAATAAAGCTATGACAGAGAAGATAAAAATATTTTGTCAGTTGCGCTGGGAAAGTTGGTAACATAAAAGCCCCACGGTCATCTGGCTTTTAAGCCTGCAAGGACCTAGTCATTTCACAACACTGACAGCAACCCATAATGAGGCCTACGGTTCTGTTCTGAAGTAAGAACAGTGAGTTCATACAAAGCAGTTCTTCCGGTCTGCAACATGGCAGTAGGAGGAAGGAATTAGAAGTCCCTTGTGCATCTAATACCCAGGATTATTCTCACAGACTATTTCCTTGGATACTATCACTTACTCCAGCTGACAGACCACGATCCTGTAACAGACTCCAACTGAGTGTGTGGGGAACGCAGCCATGGCAGGCTCAGAATTTTACGCATCAAAATAATGGGGTAAGAAAATTCTTTTATATCAGTAATTCCCACACCAAGGTCCTGGCACTATTGAAATCATTGTAAGTCGTAGCTATAGAGCTGTACTAACAGGCACACGTGTATTGTTTTCAGCTGAAAGGTTGATCATCTGGGTGCATGGTGCACTGCAAGATATTTGAAGGGCTGGCAGTCTCCAGAGCCTATACATTATACAAACCTCAAAGGAAGTAGTCGCAAGTGAATTTACTCACATGAGCAAAGCTTCCTCCTAACTAGTTAAAATCATCTATGCCAGACAGACATTTCCCTCCAATTTACACTTATTTCTGGCTGAATATATCTGACTTTAGTCTTCTCATTTTTATTTTCATCAAATAAGTGAACTCTGCCAGAAAGCTGGAAACATCCTTCCCATTAACCAGAGTCAAGTTGGAGGCCTGTGGCTAGTGGTGTCCCCCGGGGGTCAGTCCTGGGCCCAGTCTTGTTCAATATATTCATCAATGACCTGGAGGAAGGGACAGAGTGCACCCTCAGCAAGTTTGCTGATGATACTAAACTGGGGGGAGAGGCTAACACACCAGAAGACTGTGCTGCCATTCAGAGGGATCTGGACAGGCTGGAGAGGTGGGCGGAGAGGAACCTCCTGAAGTTCAACAAAGGCAAGTGCAAGGTCCTGCACCTAGGCAGGAATAATCCCATGCACCAGTACAGGCTGGGGACTGACCTCCTGGAAAGTAGCTCTGCCGAGAAGGACCTGGGAGTGCTGGTGGACAACAAGTTAAACATGAGCCAGCAGTGTGCCCTGGTGGCCAAGATGAGGCCTCACCTGGAGTACTGTGTCCAGTTCTGGGCTCCCCAGTACAAGAGAGACATGGCACTCCTGGAGAGAGTCCAGCGGAGGGCTACCAAGATGATTAGAGGGCTGGAGCATCTCTCCTATGAAGAAAGACTGCAAGAGCTGGGCCTGTTCAGCCTGGAGAAGAGAAGATTGAGAGGGGATCTCATCAACGTGTACAAGTATCTGAAGGGGGAGTGTCAAGAGGATGAGGCCAGCCTCTTCTCCGTGGTGCCCAGCAACAGGACAAGAGGCAATGGGCAGAAACTGAACCACAGGAAGTTCCATCTGAACCTGAGAAAAAACTTCTTCACTGTGAGGGTGACAGAGCATTGGAACAGGTTGCCCAGAGAGGTGGTGGAGTCTCCTTCCCTGGAGATATTCAAAAGCCGTCTGGATGTGATCCTGGGCAATATGCTCTAGGTGACCCTGCTTGAGCAGGGAGGTTGGACTAGATGATCTCCAGAGGTCCCTTCCAACCTAAACGATTCTGTGATTCTGTGATTAAAGGTAGTGGGGCTCCACATGGCATTCATTGCAGACAAATTCCTAATACCAAGGCTGGATGTGGCTGGCAGTGCTGTACAGAGTGGTTTGTGCACTAGACAGAGACATGGTTCATAATGCTTAAACTTCCCCTGGCCCACCCTAAGCAAGATACAGCTGCTTCAGTCACTAGCAGCATGGCACATGGTTTTAAGATGTTAAAGAGTTTAAGAGTTTAGGGTCTTTTTTTCCCTTTCCACCAATGGAAACACTTTATCTGAAGGAAAAACAGATCCTGACTTCATGAGCACAGCAGCCAGTGCCACAAATCTAGAGCTCAGATAAATCAGCAAAATGCCCAGATGAATAGAGAATTTGATCCATCCTGCTAAATACTAGAACTTCCCAGAGAACTTCACAGGATCAGATCACTCCAACCTAAGCAGAGAACAATTTGGACTGAAGGTAAGATATATTCATTCAATGCCTTAAATCTCAGCGACAGGCCTTCAACAGGAGACTTGCTATCCATGAAGGCAGCTTTGTGCTGCACTAGATGCAAAGATCCTCTTAGGCCCATAGCAACACCCAGGCCAGTGTTCTTCACAAACCCAAAGTAAGAGTGTGGCCAAAGAAAATGGGGGCAAAACCAAGATACTACTAGAGCCAGAAGATCTCAGAAAAGTTCTCTTGGAGCAAACAGAAAGTCTCATGGCCTTGGAAAAACACAACATCCTTCTCTGCACAATGAAGCAGTAAAACCCGGTCACTGGTTTCTAACATAAGAGACTGATTGCAGAGCAACAGCCTTTGAGCCTAAAGGACTCTGAATTTAATTCACAATCACACAACAACCAAAACAGGGATGCTCAAAACATGGCCCCCATTGGGGTCTGAGTTTTCCTCGTTCAGATGAATGCAGGCAGCAACGCCTCCAACGTGAAGGGATCAACGGCAGCTGAGGGAGGCAGATCGCAAAGGACAGGCCGCAGCTCTGAGGGAGATCAAGGCTTTCCCGGGGCTCTGCTCGACTCCATCCTCCTCCCTAGGGCCTGCCGGCCCAGCCGGCCCGCCCGACAGGGGTGGGCCAGGCCGTCCGGAGCGGGAGCTGCCCAACGCCCGGGCCGCCTCAGGACCCAACACCGCCCGCGACGGGGACCCCAGGGTCGGCAGGGGCGGGCGGCGCCC